TAGTGTCTCGGACTCACAAGTGACCGGTGAGGGTTCAAATCCTGTTGCTGTCCACTCTTTTGCGTTCTTCTCAAATTTTTTACCTGTTTTATGTATTATTGAGGTAAAAAATGACACCGGCTCACGGGATGATTTTTCTCAGATATATCCGACCCATGTTTCATATGTAAAATTTTCTGGCAAACTTCTTGCTCTGACCAATAAACTTTATCCAAAGTCTATATGATATTGGATTGCTTACTGAGATAAATTTAGTGACGATAAGTGATATTAGCACACGATAACCTTCGAATACCTTGTCAAAAATACCACCATAAACGCTGCCACGCGGGTCTTTACTCGAACGACACACACATCTCAAACTCAAACTTGGATAATTAAACCGTTTACTGACTAAATACGTAATCAACAAATACACGAGTAAGGCACAAATAAATGAGCAGTACAAAAAACATATAAGTGAGATGATTGTTAAGTGAAAGCTATGATATGGAGGTTAAATCAACAAAACTTAAACAAAATGCGAATGCTAAAAATCAAGCAATGGAGATTAATGGCGCTAAACTCAAGTAAAGCTTTTTTCCGCGGCACTCAAAAGTTTTTAAGCTTAGAGCGAACTAAACTGTTAAAATACAATTGCAGCGATACTTGTAGAATTTCCTAACACGCCAATACTTGTATTATGCGAAGATTCTCTAGGAAATTCTCACGTATGCGAGCTTATATATGAAGCTTATACCGAGCTACGTAATCAAAAACATGAACGTCAAAGCATATGAGAAAAAAATATATCGATGCCTCGCAGCACAGCTCCTCGAGCTTCATTGAACTATCAAAGCACAGATATTTCTCGCAATGCGCACAACGAATAAATATAATTTCATTGCATTCTTATATCTCACAACAAGCATTTGAATTCAAATTATAAAAACAAAACTGCAGCGGCGTTTCAAAGAATTCAGGGTGCTCGTCCGCTCTCCAAGTTGTATCACGTCATACTCTTGATTCTTGCCAATGGGCTACTTGTGATAATGACACGGCAGGATGTATAATTAGTAAAGCTAAGCAGCCGTATGTGTCAATAAATACAATAAAACAAAACTTCAATAATACATAAAGCAGGTGAAAAACGAAATTTGGGAAGAACGCAAAAAAGTGGACAGCAACAGGATTCGCACTACTGTTCACCTGTGAGTTCGAGACACTAACTACTACACCGCACGACCACGATCGGAGCATTTCTGCGTACGCTAGACATCACACGCCAAAAATTCGGAAGGCCATAACTTGCCTCGGCACGAGGTGGCTAGATGAAAATGGGAAAAACGGAGTCCCCCTTGACTTTTGGGAAGTCCCCTTTGACCCTCAACCAAATTTCCTCTAACCCAAAATCCCCCAAAAAACGAAACGTCGCCAAGTCGCCAATTTTGCGCCTCTCTTCGGTCACAAAAACGAAACCCCCTTTGCTTTCCGTCCCAAAAACGATATCCAGCTTGCTTCTAAGCCACCTGTGCCGGGCCCTGAACTTGCCTCACAATAACGCGTCACAGTTGGTGGGCGCACATTTGATACTGATCTCCCGAGCTCCGAGCCCGGGTATATACCACATATCAATCGGCTACTTCGATTCAGCGAACTTCCCTTGTCAGCCAAATTGCTCAGACTCTGGCAACTGGCCTTGCTACCTACGACTTTTGGTCTGAAAGGTCATGCTTTGCATAGGCTTACGCTTCCACAAGACTAGATTCTTATGCAATAAATATGAAGAAGAATTAATCTCTAGGCGTAAGCAAGCTAAGCTTATGTTACTATCAGATATTGTCATTTTGTATCCCCCTTAGAGATTAAAGCCTTGATTTGAAAGCATTCAATAAGACCAAAACCGGATCCTTGCCGCAGAATCCTAAAACCTTTCCACTTAGTCATTTTACTTGTAGACTTTATAGATATAACCTAGGGCAGTGGCGTACTGAGGGGGGGAGGGCGGGGGGGGGGGGGCGCCCCCCCCCCCCGAGAATGGGTCGCGAAATTTTTGAAAGTTACTTAGACGTGTTACTAAAATGTGCAAAGGACTTGTCTTTACTTGTAAATAACTAAAATAATTTTTAAAAATTTTTAAAAATACAAATTAGCCTTGTAAAAAATTTTTTCGGGGGCGTGGCTGACGCCACGCCCCCTTTTTCCAGATTTTAGGGGTTGGGGACCCGCAAAAATTTTGAAAAGCACCCCAAAAATTTTTTCGGAATGCGTGGCTAACGCCACGCACCTTCATTAGAAAAAAATTTTTGTCGCCCCCCCCCCCCCGAGCCGAAATCCTGGCTACGCCACTGCTAGGATGTGATTGCATACAAGGAAAATTGTCCTCTTCCACGTTATTTGCAAGCAAGAGACTCCTTTCCTTATTTTTCAGGATTTTTTGGTGCTGGGCTAGTTTTTTCTCTTCAAATAGAGCTAAGCATCATCTTAAAGTTGGTAGGCAATTGAACATTGATCAAGTCTATAAAAAGAATTTAGGCACAAAAATTATTTGATTACTTTGTTCCAGAGTTAAGTGCATATGGTGGACTCTCCGCAAGACCCGGCCTGCGAAGTTTCACTCAAAGTACTTCCAACTACTTACCACCGCTGGGATGGTCTCCTCCCACTTCCCCAAAATTTTCGAAATTTGTGGAGCAAATCTCCACAAATTTCGCTCTAGAAAGAACCCAATTTCCTTCTTTATTGGATTTTCACAGAAAGCAAATGCATTAAGCATGAGCGAAAACTCAGAATTCTTAGACAGAGAAGATTTTGAAATTTTCACTTTTTTCTGCACATAACTGAGGATTAAGACTTCTTGTGCCTCTCTTTTAGTATAACGATAATGAGAAGAGGGAAAGAGCATAAGCAAGTGCTCAGTTTCGTAAATCCGTTCTTTGTAACAACCGAATCTTAAAAATTTCTAGAAATCAGTCGAATTATCATGCAAAAAATCTTTGGAATAAAGCTGGAGTATTTAATGTAGTTGAAGGTCCATCAAAAGAAGTGGAACAGTATAAGTAAGCGGAGAGAATGTTCGGCTAGCAAAAGCCATGAGCAAACCAGGCATACGGTAATCTCATCGCATTTCGCCATCGCAGATGAAACCAACACATTCGTCATTGAATGCGATGGAGGGTGCGATCAATTTGACAATTTCGAGACCACTCTCTCGTCTAAAGCTTGTCTGCGCATAGGAGTACACCGTTTTTTTAAATCCTCCCATGGTCCGAAACCTCTGCGAGAGAGTGATGTCTTGCGCGCTCACACTGTCAACAACACCCCCTCTGCAACGCTGAAGGAAGACGTCCGGGTCAGAGAGGATGTGTACTTTTCCTTGTTGCGCCGGATGTTTCCAGTTTATATATAAGAAGGATATAAGAAGGATCTCGTTGACGACTCATTTGTTCTCATCAGAAACATGTTTAGCACTGGTTTAGGTGAAACGTGGAACTGTGGGATTCATTAACCGCGACGGTAGACAGGTAAATCATACTAACGGTTGAATGCGGTTTATACTAGCAGTGCGCTCCTGTTCAATATGTTCATCGTAAAGAATTGTTAAGGACTTAAAAAGAAATAGAATACGAAAATGAGGACCTTCTTTTAAGCTGCGTACCTTTGCTTCAAAGATATTCATGCATGCGACCTTTAGCGAACTCTTCGGGTTCTACATATCGCAGGTAGAGGTACGGAAAGTGTTTTTCAATACAATAAAATACTGAGGAGATTTGGTTTGCATGAAAGCGCTTTCGATCACGAACACCAGCTAGGCAGTTTTTGGGATGTGGGCAGACTTTGGCCCGTAGTAAACCCCCATCAGGGCATCTCTCTCGACGCGGACCGGAGTTGATCTCATCACGCCTCAGTCTAGCATACGGCGAGCTATTGATCTGGATGCGGGTCGCTTCCGAGACAATACAATCAAGTGTGTTCTCGAGAAAGGAAACATTTGAGTTGGTTTAGTCAAACGGATAAGCGATTGGAATTACGTGCGGGCGGCCGTGGTTCGACCCCGTCTAGCGACACACCTTTTGATGCATCGCCGGGCAGTCTTTGATAGCGGCCATTGTCGCAATCGATGATGACTGCTATCAAGGATTTCGCCTAGCAAATAGTACACGGATAAAACAAAAACACAATTTGTAACGAAAATTTCATGAAAAAACGAAATGGTTGCAGCGTAAATTCGATGAAACGAATAAATGAATTCTCGTTTTGGACAGCTAGTCAAAAAATCAGTAAAGTTTACAGAAAAGAGAAAAATTTGTATTTTTTGTTTTCCTCGCCGAAATCAGCTGTTCATCGATCCTCTCCTTTTCGGGCTCGGTTGCGCAGTTTTGCGCTGATTTTGTTGGCATTTTTAGCCTAACTGATGTGTATCGTAAGTTACTCAGGAGCAACTTACGGGAGTCTTGTCTGCGTCTCCTTTTTTACACACTATTTGCATCACTCTAACATCAGTTCACATTCAGATCACTTGAACGTGAACTGATGTGCAAGAGTTGAGTGCAGCAGGTGGACAGATGGTCAACTATCAGTTCACTCGCTATTATAGCATGGAAGGGTGGGCGGTCATCAGTTCACCTAACGTGAGGTGAACTGATGGGGTAAGTTCAGTTCACCTGAACTGATCGAGCTTTACTACCGGCCTCAATCTATTGCGCTAAACTATTGAAAGCAACGGTCAGATATAGAGTGGCCTCCCCCGTATGCATACGTAATCTGTAACTGCTTAACGTTACAGTGCTACCTTCTCACAAATCAATCACAGAATTGGTAAATCCACCACTTTATGATATTTCTCATGACATAAAAAATTATCGCTTTTGACGGGCGCAATGCGGCATAACTGAATACTTAATCGTATTGCATAAGCTTTAGCATTTTTTTCTAGCATTCGGATGTGGCTCTTGCTTTTCAGCTTCACTTTCGAAACCCTCTTTCTGTCGTTTCAATCTATAGGAATATATGGTCTTTCACATAAATTTAACAACCTTTTAAATTCAGATCCAAGTCATGAATGCTACGTTACTTACGATTGTCGGTTGGTTAGTAACATTATCAGGCGTAACTGTGGCAAGGTCAAAATTCACCAAACGTCAAGGCTCTGTTTGCCTAAAACCAGTTGATTACGACAAGACTATGGCTTACTTTCGCCGTTTCTGGACGGAAATTCCAGAAAATGTTGAACGTTCCATTGGGAAAAAGTTGGTGAGGCAACAGATATTAGGTTGTAACACAAGTTATGAGACCCTCTCAATTTTTACGGTAATAAGTCATACAGTTTACATTTTCAATAGGGGTCCAGGATACCATTCGATAGAGCAAAGCAAGCCTACAAGAAGGTGCGCAAAAGTTTGCACCAACTTCTACCCACTGTTAGTTTGCATCCATTGGGTCGTACTGAAGGCTCAAAAAATCGCCAAAAGCTCATATCTTCGTTCAAAAAATGCTGTGAATCTCCAACTTGCTTATAAAAATTGCACACTGCATTAGACACTCATATGTACCGTTCCTGGATTTTTCCTCATTTAAATCGAGAAAACGAGAATTTTTAAGTTCATACAAAAACGGAGCTATGCTGTTTTCACTCATGTAAATGTATATCACAAGCGCTTGGGAGTATAATCGTAAAGTTTCAGCTTTCTACAATCCCTAGTTTTCGAAAATTACCGACTTTAGCTCTCCTCACGCGGTGTTCCATGCTAACAAGGGAACCGTGCCGAGTCGAAGTGGCCTTTCCATATGAGACCCATACTGCTTTGAAGAGTAAAAGCGATGATTCTAAATTTGCCTTCCAAATCTGCCAAGCACCTACGAAGGCCGAGTTATGACCGTTCTTCGGAACGAAAAATGAATGCAGAATTTAGGTGAAATTGTTTGTTACAATCTTTCTACTGCTCAGATAAAGCAATGTTATGTATTAGCATATTAAATAAAATGTATCCATTGCATAAACAGCTCTGATACTTGACACTGGACCATTTGAGCAAATTTGGGCGATTTTGCTTCAGTTTTGCGTTCAATTTTTGACCTGAAAAACGAGCATAACTTGGCCTCAGAGGCGCTTGGCAGATTTGAAAAGCAGATTTGAGAATTATCGATTAATGCTCTTTAAAGCAGTATGGGTCTCATCTGAAAAGGCCACTTCGACTCCACACGTTTCCCTTGTAAGATCAATATTTCTCGAAAACTAGGCTTGCAGAAAGCCGAAACTTTACGGTTATACTCCCAAGGGCTTGTTGTATACAATTACTTGAGTGGAAACAGCATAGCTCCGTTTTTGTATGAACTTAAAAATTCCCGTTTTTTCGATTTCTAGATGAGGAAGAAATCCAGGAACGTACATATGAGTGTCCGAGTGGATTCGTAAGGTTTTTTGAAGAAAAAATATAAATTTTATGCGATTTTTCTAGCCTTCAGTGCGACTCAGATTTGCGTGCAAACTTAGAGTGGGTCGAAGTTGGTGCAAACTCTTGCGCACCCTCTTGTAGGCTTGTTTTGCTCTATCGAACGGTATGCTGGGCCCCTATTGAAAATGTGAACTGTTTGACTTATCGCCGTAAAGATTGACAGTGTCTCAAAACTCATGTTACAACGTAATAAATGCTAATACTATTCCTGTCCTTGTAACTTAAGGCTGATGACGACCGCATAATATGGTTTGAGAATAAACACTTTGATGAAAGGCAAAGAGTTCTGTTTGTGAATGTTGTCGAAGTAAGTATTCCTACCGTCCTTTGCATTTTTTTGTCCCTATCTCATGAAAGACATCCATCTGAGTTTGTGAAAAAGTTTAGAAACTTTCAGAAATGTATAGAAAAAAAGAAGTTTAGAAGAGGCGTTATTGCGTTAGTGTTATTACGGAAATCAGCAAAGCAGAGTGGACGAACTTGATGGTACTCATAAGCGGAGCTTGAACTAAATGACAGATAACGTGTACAAACTTGCTTAAAGGCACCGTCCACCCTAAGTTGAGGGTGTTGAGCTTTTGGCAGCATATAATAGTAGGACCCTCTGTCAATCCAATGCCCAAGTCGCGGCGCAAAATGCTGCTTCGGAAGCGAGAAAATCGCTTCGGAATAGCGAAGATGCACGAGGACTCCCATTCATGCCCGCCCTCCCCCATCCATGCCCGCCCATTTGTGCGCGCCCATCCAATCACCGTTCTGGAAAGCCAACCTGTGGGTTCTCCGGAACGGGGATTGTCGGGGTTTTCGAGCATTCTCGACTTCATATTCGGAATCAGGGACATGAGAAGGCCCTGAAGCGATAAAAACGTAGAATTCGAAAATCTGGGTGGACGGTGCCTTCAAGGACACTTAGGGCAGCATGCATTAACATCCCCGCCGAGGAGGAAATCGCAGCTAACAAGAAAGCTTCATATTCTGCAGCTCCAGATATTTGGATTTCACGTTGTATACCTTTCTGTAAGTCGTTATCGATTTCCTCTTTGAGCGCGACCAAGATGGTAGACATCTTTATTGATAGCTGACGTTTCGGCGCCCTCGCCCTCGTCAGAGCCTGGAAATCAAAGAGCTGTAAGATTTCATACTATCTTTCATTATAAACACATTGAACAGCAGCGAGAAGCTGTACAAGCCGCATTTTCCAGTTTTCTGTATAATCCCTGATGATCCCCGACGCTTTTCTTCAAAGTCATTTTTCTTTCTCCAAAGTCAACAAAAAGCTTCCGAAGTTGTGCACATTATCTAACCCAACACTACTTAGCATGTTGCTGATAAGAAGAAGTGATGTATCGGAGTCATGATTTTTGCGACGAACCACAATTCGAAAGTTGGGGTTTACCAAAAAATTCGATTTTCAAAAGCTCATTTGTTCTCATCAGTGATATGCTTAGCACTGTTATGTTAGATAACCAATACAACTTTGAAAGGTTTCTCTTGACTTCATAGAAAGAGAAATGACTTTGAAAAAAAGCGCCGCGGATCACCAGGGATCATACAAAATGCTGGAAAATGCGGCTTGTACAGCTTCTCGCTGCTGTTCAATGTGTTCATGGTAAAGGATAAAATGAATGCTTTCGGACAGACAGCTGAAATCAGATATCAGAATATGAAGCTTTCTTTTGAGCTGCGATCCCCTCTCTAGCGGAAATGTTAATGCATAATAAGGTTCTCATACACTCATACCTGCACATAATGGATGCCAGGTTACTGGCGTAATTGATTAGATTTTCACTATTTTGTGTGATTCCCTGGGGTTCCCCAGGGGATCTCCAGGGGATCATCTCTCAAATTCAATGCCATTTATCTCCTTGAAAATTCAATGAAACGCTGTAAAAATGTACTGTGGATATACTTCGGCGCTGCTAAAGATGATTATAGTAGAAATGTGAAATCTTGGAATATCGCAAACTTCGGTAATTCCTAGCTCGCGATCCAGGGATCATCAAAAAAATTCAAAATCTTCAGATTCCATTTATTCTGTCGAAAATATGCTTAGCAGTGCCGTAGTATATCCTCAGTGCAATTTTACAGCTTTTTCATTGAATTCTCAGGAATATAAAATCACTTTGAAATTGAGAGGTGATCCCCAGGAGATACCGAAAATGGCAAAAAACCGATCTTGTATGGAAGTAGCCTGGCATCCATTATGCGCAGGTGTAAGTGATGAAAAACTTTATAAGCAAGATAGAGAAAGAAGAAGAAAGATGCGTAGGGTAGCAAGATATGACGCATCCCCTCTCAGATCCACTCCCTTCCCCTGCGGAGATGTACGTATATACGGGCCTTAGTCAGGTTTTGCTAGATGCGCTTCTTCCTCGTATTTCCAAAACTCTCAAACACCGCAATTACGCACCCTCACCCTTAGGCTTCTCGCAGATACTCGTTTGGCAAATAGCAAACATATATTTCAATCGCCGCTTTAAGGCAAGCCCATCCATATGAAGCATATTGTTAGTGCGGAATAACCGATTCAAAAATTCCCTCATGATTCCCGACTGGGTCAACTGCGCGGTGTGGCGCAGCGACGACGATATCGTCGTGCAGGTGTGCGTGCGCTTCGACCTTCAAAAAAACCTATGTCATTTTTTTCTCTAATTGATATTTTCTCAGAGAAAATCCAGCAAAAGCCACTTTATTCGCTCGGATCCAGTAAATGGAGAGTTTGGTGACGATTTCAAGGCGATCAACGAGGAGGAGTTTAAGAAGTGGAGAGCTGCTTGTATCAATCTGTCGGGTAAGGAAAGTCAACCACCAAAGATTTGTCGTACTTATGGAAGATTATGGTAGTCAGCATACGCATAAGCATTCACAATTTCTTCTGTTCTGTGCCACAAGTCTTGTTCCTATCTAGAGGCATTGGACACTTTCATTGCAAACGGACCAAAGCGCAAGTAATGTTAGAAAATCAAGTTTTGCCATAGAATTGAATTTAAGGAGCAGTCTAGGAAATTTACAACAATGGTATACACGGAGGCATCAAAACTTCTTAGTTCTTAGTTCTGAACTTGAAGTAAAGAAAACTGCTGCAAAATAATTGCCGTCTTGTAGAACTTGCTTTGTCATATTGGATAGTACAGTATCGCTCACATAACTTGCAAACTTTCCGAGATTGTCGTGAAATTGCTGGGATGTCGCGGATTTTCGGGAATCGCGACATCTACGGCCGCCGCAGTTTTTAAGGGGTGTGCCGCACCCCATTAACTATATCAAAAAAACATTTTTAGCAAACCCTGTTTATATGGATCGATAGCCTAGATCTCCTAGTTTTCACAGGAGTGATTTGAGCCTGATTCGTTTTCTCTGCTCTGAGTAATATTTGGTGAAAGCACAGCGATCAAAACCGAAAAATGGGAAAAACGAGATTTTGGTTGGCTTCTAATTCCACAGTTTGCACATCTTCTGAAGCGGGATTCCTGAGGTGGACAAAGAAGGAGTAGTACTTTGTCTTGAGTGCAAAAACGGATAGCTAATTCACCTTTGAAACAAAGTTAACCATGTTGGACTTTGACCGTTTCACTTAGGTAGCCTAGTATCTTGAATCTTCAGAATTCGCTCACACTTTGCCTACAGGTCTTATTTGACATGCTAATTATGGATACGTTGCCCATTATGTTTGACAGGGCCTTCAAGTAATGCTATCTTAAGTGTATAGTTCAGGGGGGGGGTCTTATCAAGACAACAATCAGGGGGGGTCGTAACCAGCGATCGTGTGCCACACCCCTTGCTTGACCCTGCTTATGAGACAATAATTTCCACGTTATAATTTTGCTTGGCATCGGCATACTCTCTTCAGTTTTGCTGTGCCGGCGTTAGTGGTGTTAGATCAGGGCCCAGCACGAGGGTGACAAACAAATTGATGAAATGACTTTGCCTTTGCCACCATCGATTTTTCCCACTTGATCCCGCCTGCGTAGGTTGTTTGATTAGAGCGCGCTTCCTCACTCGGGAGGACCAGCGTTCTCGCTATTCCAGATCTAAACAAGGAGGAGGAAAGGAGTTTTGAAACCAAAATGTTACTACATACTATGCTTTAGTGTAGAGCAGATTGATGTAAAAATTTTGAAAAGCTCATGTGAATTTGAAATTTGCCTACCTGTGGGCATTAGGTGGGCAATTGCCCACCTAATTTTGAAAAGAAATTGGACACGCTTTTCAATTACGCAAGTTTTCATGATTTTTCATATTTTGTTCCTTAGTCCAACTGTGCGTATACATAACAAATCTCGCGGGATTTCGTCAACTCTGCGTGTTAAAAATCAGCCATTTTTCCATCTTTTGGTAGCGGGAAATGTTCAGAAAAAAGCTTGCCACAACCTTCCGTTACATAACTTTCCAATCAACTTCTAAGTTAACCCCAGTTCTAGGCCCATATTCATGTACGTACCAAGTTTCATACTATACGGTCATGTGTGCGCTTCCAACGAGCCATTTGAATTCACATCTTCATTCACCAGTTATGCAAAACTTTTGAAAATAAATGCTTATAATACCTTTTATTCACATAAGATTTTCATGAGTTTTTGTAGTTTGTTCCCACTAGCTTCTGTTCGCTTACATTTGGTGCCATAACGTTAGCATACATTGAGAACTATTCATGTATGCCGTCACAAATAGCATCGATTGAGAGACGTCGCGCGTGCGTAATTAGCGACGGCGTGGTTTGATCGCGCGAACTCCCGTGTTCGCCCGTTGAGGCACATAAGGGTTGGGCCAGACTGGCGGCGTACGCGGCGGCGTGCAGCCTGGCCTAACCCTAACATTTAAGTAAGCAGAGAGCATAAACTACCAATTTTTTTTCGAGCGCTTCGCCCAGGACGACAAACGACATTTCATTTGCTTTTTTCACCCAAAAAGACTTCCAGCCTGTCATTCGCCCACCTCGTGCCGGACCCTATGTTATTACTCGACTTGGCCTAACGTTTCACGGTATCGTCGTCCTCAATAGCCTGAAAATTACTCAAAGCATTATCTGCAAAAGCGGAATGGCCACGCCCCTCTGTGCTCTCTGCAAAAATTCTTCTGGCAGATAATGACTGTATCAGAGCTACTCGAACCGTCTGCACCGTCTGCACCCAGTTACGAACGACAGCGGATAGTGAGACAGTACATAGAATGCCATCGATAGGCTTATATACTGTCTAGAACTGAGATAGCGATATGAACGGCATAAAGTAGGCAGTTGATAGACACTCATTCTTGTTATTCTTTCCGGCTTGCTAGATTCCAGAAAGCCTCTGATGCTTTCCCACCAAAATCTCCTTATCAAGCGTCAGAAACGTACGATCGAATTGAAGTAATTCCCATCATGCGTATCGTTCCTCTGTCTACCCAATGGTTACCAAAAAAGGGACCTCGTACACAAGACTATAAAAAAATTGAAGGCGATGCCTCAGCTCAAATAAATTCCTCTACATCATCTAACTGTTTATTGCAAAAACAAAAAAAGAGAAGAGCACCAGGAATATGAGATGCAACGGATACGCGTGAGGATTAAAAGAAAAAGGAAGAAAGCAAATCGTCAGGAGGAAGAAGGACACGCTGGTGGTGTCAAGGCGGAAAAGCGAATGAGTTTTGACACACTTTACGGCGACACCCGTGGCCACGTCCCCGGTGGGACCACTAACGGCAAATCTGCCGCATCCGCCATGCCTGCACGGCGCTTAGAACGACGACCCAACCCGCCCCGAAACTTTCACATTACCATGCTTTTTCGTACCTTGCGTGCAGATGTTCATCTAGGCGTAACTGAGCACCAGCTAGTTTCACCAGCATGTGATGTGTTTCGGTCAGAACGTTGAATTTGGAATACGATTCTCACTTTCGCGCACTCTCGCATTCTGCCATACGACACACTGCGCATTGCAATAACATTCAATAGCTGCGCTTGGGCAATGTCAGAAAACAGTTTGATTTTACGCAATTAGAAGGAGACGAAGAGGGAATTTACCGCCCTCTTGTATGTGATTATTGCGAGTGCAACATCGTGTCTGCGCAGTAATGAAGTAAAGGTTACTGCAGTGTCTGTAGCTACTACATGCTTCGCAACGTTCGTCCTATTCAGAGCGAATTTGCTGCTTTCCTTAACATATTCCGAATAAAGCACGCTTCATGTTTGTGAATGTGCGGAATTGGCGTTGAAGTGGATATTCCTGTAGCTATCTTTAGTGGTACCATCATTGCTATAATTTCATTATTCGACTAGTGTGTTAGAATAAAGTAAAGATCTTCTTCGCTGTTTTTCACGAGTTAGCCTGACGTACGATGACTGTTGATTATGAATCCTATGACCGCTCATCTCGGACTTGTTAAGATCGCAAACCATCTTCTAATGGTAACCTACCGGTACAGCCCGTGCTCGATACTCAGCCGCTAGCACCCGCTCTTGCCAATTGCTTTAGCGGTGGAATAATGAAGACTACTGATCTATTGACGCCACATCGACGACATCTTTTTGGTGACTTCAACACAGTCTGAGATCGCAAGAACATTATCATCAAAGTCAACTCCGTACGCTCATTAAGCACGAAACTTGCTGTAATTTGGAATTAGTCAGGACAGCAGCAATAATTCGCTCCGGAGAAGAAAGTTACGAATCCAGTGTCTTGACTGTAACTCGCCATGCATTTGAAAGTGCCATAGTGCTTGACTTACGCATGAAAGAGAACGAGCGCACGATTGTTATACTTAAAAGTCGACTGCATCATTCTAACACACAAAGTAAGATTTAGATAGGAATCCATTAGGGGCCTTCTGAATTCTAGCAAGAATGAACCCATTTTTGATACAACCATCTCAAGAGCATTAACAATAAAAGAGTGCTCTTAAGAAACATACTAGATTGCTCGCGTCAGAGCTTATTAACTATCGGCAGCAAAGTCTTGAGTAATTATTTATAATTTTTCCTAGTAAAGCTCTTACGTGGAAAAAGTTTACGGAAATGTACATTCAAATCTTGCTGAAAGCGAGATGTCGTTATATACGTTTCGGAGAGCAACACAAAAAGCTTGGAAGTATTTTTCACATTTTTTGGAGGTCAAAACTCAATGATCCAAGAAAGTGCACTGCAAAAGCATTCGTTAAGATGTATCGCTAAATTTAGTGTGCTTGCAGTGTCGAGACTTTGCGCTGAAATTTGCGCGTAAACAAACCGCCATACCTGAAACCGGCAATTTGCATGCAAGAGCCTGCACTGACACGTAGCTAATTGTACGTGAAATTTCACCACAAATTCAGCGCCACAAGCACACTGTATCAACGAAAATTTGTGCGACTGTGCCATTCTATTTAGGCCAGATACTATGAACAATGTCTGGCCAATTACCACTTTGTCAGTCTCTCGCTCATCACCTGGAAATGTCGATTGTTCAAATGGCCACGAAACCGCTTTCGGAATTGAAGTGGTGCTTCAGGTGAACCAAGGAAGGCGGCGCTGATGGACTATTTGCGCGTCACTATCCATAAACATGAGATCTTTTGAGTTTCTGAGGTTAACACATTCACAAAAATACGACCCACCGTGGGTCGTACGTGTCCTGCTATTTCGGTCAATATGGCCCACAGAGCAATCGTAAGCTTTTTTTCAAATTTGCTAGTTCACGGTGAAACTTTTTAGGTAAACCGAGTAAATTTCTGTATACACCTCCTGGAGTACTTCCCAAAAGATTAACACTTCAGACTACAGGGCTCATCAGTGACAAAATATTACGCAAACACAATTTTGGGGAATATGCTCTG